GAAGGGTATAAACAAACATTATACTTTAACCAGGAAATGATGGAAAATAGCTCAACACAATGCTTAAACTATCAAGAAAAAAGCACTTGTGTATGTCTTTTATACATGAATGTGTCCCCGGTGTTCCACTCACCAAGTGTCAGAAAACACAACCCTCTCTCTTTTCCTCCATACCCAAATCTCTAAAAAAGGGGCTGCAACGGATCTGATACAGACTGATCCAGATTTGAACACTGTCCTGACGTCAGGACGGTGGCGCTACGGCTATTGGTCAATTCTCCACCTATCATGGGAATGTGGGGTTGGGCCACGGCCGGCCATTGCTGCTCGAAAGCGCTGGAGACGCTGTAGTACATATGCCAGGCCTGTAAGTGGCGCTGTAGTCTGCCACAAAAGCAGCGAAGAAGACTTCCCTTGCATGCTGCCATGGTTGCCCTTCTGTTTATTCTCCGCTGTGGCTCTTTTTCTCCCTCCCCGAGGCAAGCGTTTGCACCTCCTGCTTTAAAACAAATGCATAATGACTCTATATAATCATATGTAAGGGATAATGTGCAGCGACGCGGTCATTATGGGGAAAAGAACACCGACAGGCTGATCAGGAGCCCGACGCGAAGCGGAGGGTTCTAGATCGGCATGAAGGCACATTATGCAATGTGCACATTATCCCGCTTATTACATGGCCACATTCTCAACAAAGTAACAACATGACTCCCAATATTAATTGAAATGCTTTATGGATTTAGAAAATGATTTTATCGATTTAAAAAATAGTTGTATGTATTGATTTAAATTGACATGCATCCGCTAAGAAAAATAGTCCGTTGTTACTGTTTGAACTAACGTAGCAACGGCAGGAAGTGCTTCGATAGTGTTTTTGAGGAGCTTTTTGATTACAGATTTGAAAACATCGTTGCTTGCTTTAAAAGTAGCACAATTCATTATGTCAAACCTTGGAAAGTATCTAGATATCTAGATATCCAACTCCACTCTCCTGCAGGGGGGCGTGGTCAACTGCAGCTCACAGAATCAGCCCCCTGCAAAAACAGGGCTGGAAAGAGCAAATAGAGAGCAAAATGAGGCATGGCTAAAATGCAGGATCCGTTTGGTATTTGGAAAAAATAACTATATTTATATACTTTATATAGGTATGGCCCTACAATATATGTTTCAAATATAGCATGATAGGTCCACTTTAGCACAAACTAATTATGGATAGTAAGTGCTAGCAAAAGCACAGATTAAGAGGAATACTGGCTAAATGAAAAGCAAAGATATACAAGGTACATAAAAAGGGTATGGCCTAATCCACTTTTGAGAGTAGTCCCAAGTAAATACATTCCTGTTTAACAATTATAGCGACCAAAAAAAATCATGGAGCCTTTTTACATTTCTAAACAACAAGTTCACGATCTGTTCAAATGTGTTTTGTGTGAACACATGGGCTCAGTGTCTTATGCTGGGAAAGTAAGTGTTCAAACTATAGAGAAAGTATAATAATAAAGATTTGTTGATTTCGGTCTTTTAAAAAGGCACTAATTGACAATAACAAAAGTGTCATTATAAAGTCAGCAGTTACCTTTAACATAGGCGTGCAGGGAAGGCCCACTGCATGTTTAGGTAACAAGCAGCTAAGTGTAGTCGGGAATGTCCCATAATTGAGAAACGTAACTATTGTTACCAAACCTAAAGGAAATGTATACTGCTCAATATAGATCCCACACATGCAGAGCAATCCTCTGCAACATGCAGTCAGGATGTGGGGGGTGCCCGACAATGACAAAGTGGCGGTGGTACAAATTATATAGGCATACCTTGATATTAGTGCTGGGGGGAAACGATTATTTTGAAAACGATTAATCGGGCAATTATTTTATCGATTAGTCGACTAATCTAACGATTATTTTTCTGTTGTTCGATTAATAAAAAACGTAATGTATCTCAAATAAATACCAACAAATTCTTAATAGTTTTTTTTTCAATGAGCTCTTAGCACTCAGAGCTCACAGCTCTTCATATCTGTTCAGAAACTAGACAAAAGTTAAACAAGTACAAACCACAGACTGCCTGTGTCATGGCGAATACAGTCGCTTTGTTTATGTCTGTATAGGCCGTTGTTGTGAGTGTGGACGGTCGGAGCATATATAACGTTAGCTTAGCCAAGCTACATTTAGAAAACACGCATTTTAAAAAGGGTTTTTCGCCTGCCGTCTGTCTGCAGACTTGTCAACGCATTAATTCATGGTTTTTACTAACCGGTATCAGTATGTTGTTACTTCGTCATCATTTTGAAACGTGTATTACAATTAAATCACGGTCAAATATGTTCATCTTGTTGTAGTTGTAGCCGCCTTGCCAGCGATTCTCTCTCTAGTTTAGCATAATCAGCCCGACTCAGCCTGGTTGTTTCTGGTCCTAGAACCACGATTGAGTAGGCCAAGTGGAAGCGCAACCAAAAACGGGCCCCGCACGGCTCGGCACGCTTAAAGCGAGCTCCCCGCTGCAGTGGAAACGCGCCATAAGCTGACTAACGTTAGTCTAATGTTATGTTTTACTCGTAAAGGACCACAACATGAGTTAGTTCTCTGTGCAGTTAGTTCGTTCCGGGTTAGTAGTGGCTAGATAGCGGTGTACTGCAGACGTAAACTAGCTACCATTCCAGCCAACATTAAATGCTGACAAACGTTAACTAACACACAGCTGGCGCCGCTAGCTAGGTAGCTAACATTAACTACTAACCAACCAAGCGCGAACAAACCGCACGGAGAGCTATAAGATAGTTAGCACTACCGAAGTGCACAGAACTCAAGCTGCACAACACACTACACAAACGTGGAATTAATTTAGCCAAAGTTAGTACTTACTTATCATTGTTCCCTTCACGAGAGACAAGGGGGTGCCTCCTTTAAATGCTCCAACATAGCTGTTGTGCTAGTGTGGTATGCCAACTCCATTTGGCAAAGACTGCAAATAACAATGCCTTTGCGTTTTGGACTACATTTAAAGTATTCCCATGCTTTTGAAGACCTAGGGCGAGATGTTTTTGTTTGGGGGCTTTTTGCAGGGCTTCGTGCGCAATCCTGTGAGGAGGAGGTGGTAGCCGTTTCAGTCTCCATTGTGTTTGAAGTGTGATTGCGAACTGCTTGTTGCTTTGGGTGACCCACGTGTGTGTGGCGATGCGTAGACGAGGAAATCTGTCGTCGACGAGATTTTGAAGTCGACGATGTCGACGCGTCGCTACAGCATTACTTGATATACCACAATACTTTGTAAACAAGTTAATTGAAACAGTGACAATGAGTCAACCTCAAAGGGCACAGATAACGTCAGTGCTGCAAACGTTGAATAATTTGATAAATTTGTTCTGCATTCTTATTAATTCATCTCTAAAGGTGAAACATTTGACATGTATAATACACCTGGAGGAGGAATAGTAATAAATACAACTTGTTTTCTGCTTCTTTATTTTGTTAATCTGATATTTGATGGACTCTTTTCAAATCTTTCGATTAGCTTTTACACAAAGATTAACCTGACTGTTTGAACATGGTTGACTTTGGCATCTGTGGTTACAGTGAGTCAGACAGAAAATTCTGCTGGAGTTTTATAAAAACACCGAGCAGACGGTACAGCTTCCAACCTGACGAGGACAGCCCCCAAACTCAGCAAACCACAGCTAAATCTAAACTGCAAAAAAGTGATCTTATACAATAAGAGTGTGTTTTTCCATTTCAGTTCATTTTTGAGTGTGGTCGTGCGATTCCGATAAGGGGTCTTCACAACTTCAGGGGAGAAGCTGTTTTGTTATGAAAGATGAAAGACGCAATTAATGTTTACTTCTCACTCCATTAATTTATGAGCCTTTATTCCACTAGCTGCAGCAAGCGTAATGCTGCAAAGTGGTAGTTGTTGCTACACAAAACGGCTCAGAACAAGGGTGGAAGATTATTTTGAGTAATAATACATTTTATTTATCAAACGCTTTCAAAGACGCTTTACAGAGGAAAAAAAGAAGATACAAATATTTAAAATCGAGCAATAAAACCAAAAGGACACGGCATCAATCACAAACGCATCTAAAAAGGTGAGTTTGGGTCAGAATGTTCTGTCTTTAACCAGATTTCTGGAAAGAGACGTTGCAGTCGATTTGGCACCCTTAGCACCTCAAGGTAAGAGCCATGTGGTTAAATGTTATATATGAAAGAAGGCAATAGCTCACAATAACACACAACAAACCATCAGATTGATATCTCTCTGAGGTATATGTATTTGGGGGATTTTGGGGGTGATCTCTCTCTTTAGCATTAGTACATTAAGCATAAGAAGTTAAAATAACTGTCATGTGTTTTTAGGTCAACATAAACTCTTTAAAGTATTGTTTAGAGTCTAGACGGATGGAAAAACCAAAGGGATAGACCATGCAATGCCTCAGAGAGGAGGAATTAAAGATGAAGCATTTACATTGTGGCAGCATGGTATAGCAACTGTCGAGGATATTAATAATGTGTTATAGTGCCATCAGGTTAACTCTTATTTACCTCATTAAATCAACATAGTTAATTAGGAAAAATATGGTAGGCCTATATCCCTTTTTATTTGTATATTATTTTATAATTAAGATAAGATATTCATAATTACTACTTTATTCATCGCCAATCAATCAGATGTATCCCAGGTTTTAATGCAAACTCTTTTGTAAACTCTGTTATAACTATAGGCTACAGTTTAGTAAATAAAGCTTCAACCGTGCACTGTTGTGCAGACAATGTGCGGATTGATTGAAAAGTTTATTAACAGCTTGTATATTGGGTACAGTACAGTAACCTACAGCTCAAAACATACAATTGTTAACGGGATGCAGACCAGAGAAAGACTTTCGTCTTGTTTACATCAGGGTCCCCCATTATGATTAAAGAGCAAATCAATGTGCAATAGTTCAACAAAAACAAAAGTAGGGCAGCTGATCCAAAGTGACTAATTTCAGTATCACCTGTTGGTTTGATCGTGGCCACACGGTTGTCTTGGACTTCCGTTCTCCAAAGTGAAGTTGCGATCAGTTTCCACGGCATTACAGCGCGAGGAAACAACGCGATTGGCTGCGTGTTTTCAGTCAATGTGCGCACGGCCCCGCAGCTCTGCTCTCTTCAGCACCGATGAGTCTGTGATTGACAGGTAAGCGCAGTCTCAACATCCACAAACTTCTTAATAACCAAGAAAATGTAATGGAGTGCAACGTCAAACTCTGTACTTAACTGTGTGTGTTGCAGAATTACAAGAAGCTCTCGCAAAGTTGATCCTTTCCTCCAAATCCTCTCACAGGTGGCATCCATATCATTCAGGTCAGTGCGGCGGGTTTATCTCTGTAACACTGTCGAACATTCAGCATTGGTTTGTGGGAGTCTGAGACAAAACATTGCTGCTATCAAACTACTGGCCTACTTTAGCTATTTAAGCTTACTTGAGGTTGAATGTAACCATGTCTCAAAAATAAATATTGGGCTAAGCCACTTCATGTCATCTTTTCGGTTAAGCCGAAAATAATTATTTAAGTGGGGGCAAAAGTACTCAGATCATTCAGGTGCTACATACCACAATGCAAAACTTTACTAAATGCTAACATCCTGCAATTATACATTGTGCTAAAGTAGACTTAAAAGTACTCATCTTGAATATTAAGTTTAATGCAGGCGAAATATTTGTGTTTTAACATAGCCAATTGAAATCGTTCATGTTATTGAACTAGGGCCAGCACGGAGCGGGATGTATTAATACATCCATTAACCTTTAATTTCGTAAATATATAATGTGCAAATTAAAAATAATATTGTTAATTTGCACATTATATATTTATTAAATTAAAGTTTTTAGTGTCTTTTAAGATATCAATTAAGGAGTCATTTTTATTTAAAAAAAAAGAAAAAAAAGTTGTTAAAACTTTTTCCTAGTGCCATGTCAACACCGGGGAGCCGTGCCGGTCCCGGGGCCGTGGCTCCGTGTCAGCCCTCCTCCTCCTCGGTGGAGAGCAGCGGCTGCACGGAGCCTGACCCGGGCCTCCTCCTCCCGGTGACCCAGTCCCGCTCCGTGCTGGCTCGACACCTCCTGAACGTACGGGCGTACAGCAGCAGCGTGACCCGCCGCAAGAGGGAGATGATCCCCAACGAGAAGAAGGACTCAAACTACTTGGTGAAGCGGAAAAAGAACAACGAGGCGGCCAGGCGGTCCCGGGAGAAGAAGAGGCTGAGCGAGCTGATGGTGGATGGGCAGCTGCTGGCTCTCAGCGAGGAAAACACCCAGCTGCGGGCTCAACTGCTCAGCATGCAGTACCACAGCAGCCTGTGTGCAGAAAGGAGAACATCTGCTTCTGCAACATCCAATGTGCCCTCATCACCTGCCGTTTTCCAGCCAGGGCTCTGGGGCAACAACGGCAGCAATGCATTTTCATTAGAGGCCAATATTCCTCGCTTTAGCTCAACAGGTGTGGGTGGTTTCAATCCACGCAGTTCCCTCTTCTCACAAGGCTTCTCCCCCCTCTCCGGGCCCCGTGTCCTCTCTCCAGAGGCAGAGATGGATGCTCAGCGACAGGTTTCCTCCAGCGACGACATCCACAAATCCACCGATGCGTCTGCCCTCCGAGCCTTTCTGCCCCCACCGGACCACCTCCACCATGCCTCCATCCGGTCAACTCGATCCTGGCTGCTGCCCCACATGAATCCATCGGCAGTGTGCAATAATGTCCTGCTGCCGTGGCGGTCTTCATACCTGCCCTCGCCGGGTGTCTACCCCGGCCTGCCTCTCTACATCCAGGAGAGACAAGGCCAGGGTCTCGGTGTGGAGGCAGACACCCAGCTGGGGGGATTCAAGAGCCGCTTCAGCAGACGGGATGCACCTCAGTCCTGATTGACGCTATACGACTGTCAGTGCGCTTATTACCGTTTATTTAGAGGCCAATGGATGCAAAACATGCTTTACATCTGCTCATTTTAACAAGCCTCAATGCAACAGGCCGTTCGATGTTTTATTTTTGACATTATGAGAAGAACATGCAAATTACAGTGTGCATATTTATCAAAATATAGTCTGCAGAGAATATCAAATCCATGTCTCAAATGCGAATTTACTGCAAGTCAAATGTGTTTGTTCTGACTGTTGTATTGTAAGAATGAAACAGCCATGTCAAAAACCCAAAATAAATTTAAGTTTTCACTTTTTAATGCGACTGTAAAATAATAGAATCTAACAAAAATCATTCCAGTTTTTTTTGTAGCAAGACATGGGGTTGATTAGGGGTTAAGATTGAATGATGTGATTTTTTACGGTTTATATTTGCGGTGGAAAACATGCTGACAAAGCCAACGAAACTAGGTTGCTGTTGGCTTGGTATTCCCCTTTATCCCCACTGCGTGATTTCCCAGCAAAATTTGATTCAGCGGGAAATCAAACCGTTTATCTGTAGACCTCCAGCATCACGAGACTCCGCCCTCAATTGCATCTGCTCATATCTACCTTTATTTTAAATCAATAAGAAAATGTCCTAATGCGTACAAACCTTTTGTTTTAAAGCACTTACAAATAAAAAACACCTCTCTTGAAAATGTTTCTTGAGGAAATTGTTAGGAATTGTTAGATCATAGGCCTATAGCTCCTTTAAAAACGCTTAAATTAATTCCAAAGTCAAAACAAATAAATAGCGTCATGCTCCAACATAAAAATAATATCGGTTATTCCTGCAGCCTTTTTAAATGTAGGCCTATATCCATATAGATGCATAAAGCAACATTGGTATGTAAAGGAAAAACTAAAAGTTGTATTCCATCTTGAAAAGTCTTCTCTCTTGCCATGTCACTCTAAAACAAAACAGCGAAGAAAGCCTACATTATTATTAACATATCTTATAAGTTTTGACATAAAGTTTTGTTAAAACATTCAAATTATTTGCTTCTTTCTGTTCTTATAGGTTTAGTTTTTGTTTAATTTAAAGGTGGGGTACATTTTGGAGAAACCAGCTCGAGTGCGCTAGAATTTGAAAATACACAGCTGGAAGAAATCTGCCACTTCCTCACAGAGCCCCTCCTCCAACACACACGAACGCGCACATGACCAATGAGGGCACGAGGTAAGTCTGTGCACAGATGGAAGGCAGACAGGCAGGTAGGCCATCCAGTTATTTTAACCGGGCCGGCTAAAATGATTGGTCGTGCTTTTTACAGTACTACGGCTTCCACAGATGACGTTTTTTTAAGGATTTTTTGTCAAAGCACTTAAGATATTCATTGCTATCGGGATGTTAAGAGCATTCCATGGAATATAACAAAAAGTGTATCTCGAGCTGGTTTCTCAAAACTTACCTACCCGGTAATTCCTCCCGGTTTTCAGGTCATGTAAGGACATGTTCCTGAAGCTACCAGCAGATGGCGCTACAACACAGTATTTAAAAATATGTGGTTTTTGTTAACACAAATAGGACGACCTTTCTGCCCATCTCCTGTATGTATGAGCATATATTTGTATTTATGCCTTTTTTTATATATAAGATTTGCACGGATTTTATACAAACAAAAAAAGGTGAGTTGGAACAAAATATATTTTATCTGTGGATTATTAGGATTTTTTGTTATCACCCTGCTAGAAAGGTAGACATCCTTTTTGAGAAAGGTACTTGAGTCTTTAAAAAAAACATTTTACAGGTTTTGTGCACAATCATTTGTAAATAACATTGAACAAACAATTGCAAAACATTGCAAACAAAATCTCCTTAACATGTTTTTGCTGTCCTATAAGCTTTGCAACATGACAAGGAATGTCAGGAAGATTTTAGAAGACTTTATTGTGCGATTTTGAAACTCTTAAACACCACATTAATGTCACATTTTGCTGTTTTCAAAGACAATAATCTATTCTGGGTCATAGTTCAGGAATACACTTTGTTTAATGTAAAATTGTGTTGAATTTGAACTATGATGTAATATACTTTTTGGTTTTTACAAGATAACTTTGTCACAGTTACTGTGCATACATCCCTCAGACGGAAAGGGGCATTTTGAATAAAAATAAGACTGAACACATACAGGTGTCAGGGCAACATACGAGAGTTTGATTATCTCTTTGTAGTCGTACAGATCAGACTGCGACCTCTGTGCCCTATAACAACAATAAAGCATGTTCACATTAAACCCTGGTGCTTTCTTTTTCTAAATTGGAACGGCTTCAGCACATAACAGGAAGCAAACATCTAACTTGTCTTCATGTGACAATGTCTACAAGTAAAAATGGGGGTTAAAGTAAAATGTAATGACAGAAGTATGTTGTAATTGCAAAGGGAATTTTTGTTTTTCCTGCATTGTCTTCAGATCAGTGAGGATTTAAGTATTCAGACAAGTTATCTCAACACCACCGACGTCTTAACTGATAAGAGACAAACACTTCTCTTTTTTGTTCATCTGAGGTGGCAAAGATTTATTTGACACATACACAACAAATGTCAGTTCTTACACTTTACTCATATCAGATAAGCTTTACTCTTTTTGTACTACTACTGCTGCTTCTACTAGTAAAACTACTGCTTCTACTTTTAATTCTACTACTGCTGCTGCTTCTATTTTTAATACTAATACCACTACTGCTTCTACTTTTAATACTAATACCACTACTGCTTCTACTTTTAATACTAATACCACTACTGCTTCTACTTTTAATACTACTACCACTACTACTGCTTCTACTTCTACTAAACACCACATTATAATGCAACTACTGTATTCAAAGAAAACAAAATGCATGTGTTTACTTCATGAAATAATGGTATATTACTTAGTTTGTATACTCGAGTAATTTAATAATACAATACATGTAGGTGTTAAACTGACAGTTTCAGCAAAGGTGAGACCCCTGTGTGGGCATGCCACTGACACCACGACTATCAAGATCAAGGGGGCCAGTCAGACACTTTTCATGTGACAGCAGAGGTGGACAATCAGAGTTAAAGACAGGAAAACAACACAAAGACTGAGAGAAGGCTAAGTAGAGGAGAGGGTAGGACCGAAAAAGCGACAAGTGTTTACGAGCCCCCCTGTTTATGAACATCCATCTCACGACGCAGTCTCAAAGGACAGTTCACTGCGTTAAGTTGGGTATTAGCACCGGGTGAGAGCGAGATAATTCTGCATTAGGTCGTTGGCTCCTCTGCGGACAGAGGACTTTCTGCACAAAGCAGCTAAAAGGTAAAATCTTTATTTTCAAATCAAAAGGGATTTGGACCATGTGTGTCAGTTAATGTATTCAAGAGAGGAGATAGTTTAGGTATCAGTGACTTGATGAATGTTTTTCACACATGTATTCATCAGTCTCTTGTGCAGCCAAACAACCCAACGTCTCACGCGTTGAAATTGGTGTTAGAATTGGTGTTAGAATTTGAAAACTTTTATAACCATTAAAACCATTTCAAATATAAGTGAAGCTTCTCACATTTCATATTTGTATTGAATATCAAAATCAATTCATAAAGAGTAGGTTAACAGGAAATGTTTATGATTGTTTGAGGAAGAGGAAGTGTTTCTATGTTGTAAATATCAAGATAAATTACAAGGAGGTAAAATATTGATTATGTTTTTATAAAATTACTAACTGGGTAGAGTACTGAACATTCAAAATATATATGAAACATAATAATCTTGATAGATGAACAGGAAACCGAAGGTCAAAATGTTATCTTGTTATCTGGTAAGGGTTGTTTAGCAGAGCTGCAACTAACTATTGTTAATCAATTGATTATACTCTTGATATTTGATCTATACATAGTCAAAAAAGTCAATCTGAGTTACTCAAGGTCCAAGATACTATCTTAGATGTCTTGTTTCATCAGCTTAAAACCCAAAGATATTTAGTTTAATGACATAAAACAGAGAAAAGCAGGAAATATTTCAGACATTAAGCATTCTCATTTGCTTGAAGAACTTCCTTAAAAGTTACTCAACTATTAAAATAGCGATTACAATTTATTTACAACTGAAAAATGATCTGAGATTATCTTAAAAGAAATCAACGTTCATTTTGAGGATACCAGAAGAAGCTCCTAACACAAAAGTTTGTCGTGTAAAGTGTACGCCGTATTATCGAGTGAACAAAAGTAGAATGATGTCAGAGTAAAGCTGATCATGTGTGACAGGCATGTTGATCCCAATTTGATGATAATAATAATTATTATAGAATATAGCGTTCATAACATCGATGTCCAACACACAACATGAGTGAACAGTTTACTTTGTTTGTTGTTGGGCTTTATTGGGGTTAATATCTGTGCACAAGTTTCACACAAGTCACAAACGTTTCATCCAGGATATTTTGGTCCTGGTTGCATAACACAATGTTCGAAGTCTCACATTATGGTCGGCTGCAAAGACCGCATGAGACACAGCGTTTCATTTTTCATAACCGTTATAGATGCCGCAACCGCCATTTTCCAAACTCAGAGATACATAAGCTCTTGTACTTTACCGAATAAAAGCTACAAAAGTTATTTTACTATTTCAAGGAGTTCGGTCTGGTATAGAGCTTTACATCTCAGACTGATGATTTAAAAGAAAACAAAGTATAAATCAGCCTCCTACAGTACAGTATGTTGATGAAAAAAATAGGATAATTGGTTAAAAGCAGAATCTTGAACTCAATAAAGTGCAAAATATATTTGATATGACGGTGAACTGTTCAACCATGCATTAATACATGATGGTTTAGGACCATATTGTCTTCATACAAACACTAGTTTCGTCTTTTTATGATGCCGTATACATTACAGGTATTTTTCCATCAGTTTCAAAAGTAAACGTTATATTTCAATGTTGCCTTCCATTTACAATATATGACGAGCGCAGGACAAAGTTTGAATTATGAATTCATAGCAATGCCCTTAAATGAACTGATGCGTTTAACAGAACATTCTAGTCAATAACTATGTGAAAAAACGTTATTCCCTCAAGAGAGCATCCGATGTACTTTAACTTCCACAATGGCAGTTAACAATAGACATGAACATAGAAGAGGGAAGGCCACAAAATGACCAAATTCCTTCTCCTAAAAGGTAGTTGTTTTAACATTAGCTGCACAACAGCAGATGGTTAGGTATGAGAAAACGGATAGACTCAAAAAGAAGAAGTTTGAGAGTTCCTTACTGAAAAGCAGGCGAGCTATAATTAGTCAATAAGAAACAGGTGCACAT